TGGAAAAATACAGTAATTAAAGAGGACTCAATAATACGCCTAACAAAACTGATCAAAGAGCACTATGATAGAGTAACATGGAGTGGGAGGGTAACAAAAACTCACCAACAGTGCAGGGTCATGGGCTTATATACAATAGACCTTGTCTATGCAGCACGCCAAAAACAGATTTACAGCAGATATACTGGGTACCCTGGAGAATCAATAGATATGAGAAGGGACAACTCACATCACATTTCCAAAGCCAGAGTTATTCAAATGGAGCACTTACTTAATTACTGCGGAGGTTTCAGGATGACATAGGCTAAGAACGACTCTACTACAGAAGCAACCCTTGTACAGAAGCTGAGAACACAAGCCCGTATCTTGTTCTCTGGTCACTGGTTAAACAACCTCTACAGTAGTTTTGTTCAGCCTGCTCACATCAGAACATTCTGGCTGAATAAGCTGCGAAGATGCCTCACCACTGTTCTGTTGGTGCAGTCACAGAAACGATGTTCTTTGTAACCAAGAAGTATGGACAATAATAGTCAAAGCGGCAGAGATGAACTACATGACACAGCTATATAATGTATAGGAAATCCTATAAACACATTAGATCTTGGACTGGAAAAACGTGCTGCAAGCATCCTAAAAATTGTAATGTAACATTCTGCTTAAAATACCGCCTTGTATCTGCTATGGAACATATGGGGCACAGCCAGCCATCCAATAAAAATTTTAAACACACACACACACACACACACACACACACACGTGTAAGTTTTATAGCTAAAAAAATACTTCTGTGGTAGGAGAGCAATGGAGTAGGTATGGATCTCTAAGGCCCAGGGGTGGGGAAATCTAGCCCCCAGATCTCAAGAGGCTGCCCCACCACTGCGATGAGTCCAGGGTGGATGGGGGATATATTCAGCAAGCAAAGTGCATTTTGAAGAACAGCAGAAGAGAAACTACAGAGTGAAGACAAATACATCAAAATATATAAAGCTAAAAAAAGCAATCTAAACCCTTTAAGAAATTGCCAGCTACACACAAATATTCAGAAACTGAGCTGTGCATTCTTCATCTCTTAATACTGTAAAATGGGCTATTCACTCTGAAAATACAGCAGGCTATTCCGCTCTCAGGTAGGCTATACACTATGTACAGTATAATTGGCAACAGATACAGCAGATGCAAACAGAAAGTCCATTACAGCAAAAAGGTAGATTAATCAGTGCAATTACATCCTGCTTGGGTTTCTCTCTGAAATGAATGCTAGGATGTATTCAGAAGCAATTTTTCAATTAGTACAAATGTAAAGGTGTCTATACTGCATGGTGTCTGCCACCAAGAGACAATGGCATTTTAAGTCTACAATGCTGTTATTTAAACAGAAACAAACAAACAAAAAAAGATCTGCTTCAGAGGAAGTAACACTCAACATATTAAATTTAACCTACCACTATGGTTGTGTTGAAACAACGTATTTACATTATTTTTCCTCATGGCTTAAGTAATGCCACAGGAGCTGTTCTCTGGGCTGGATCAAATGTGGCATGGTGACTATCTACATTTCTCAAGACAAAAGACTCCGTCTTCTACCTACTGCTCAAAGCATCAAGGGACAAGTGGAGCGAGATGTAATATGTGGTTCAAGATCAGAAACTTTGGAGTCGTGGCAGAGCATATACTTTGTGTGTAGAGGGATCCAAGTTTGATCCAGTCTCTCCAGTTACCAAAATGAAATGAAACGAAATAAGGTAACAGGGGGAAATGAAAGACCCGTAAAGAGCTGCAGTCCAAGTAGACAGCAGTGGACCGGTTGGTCTAGAAGTCCGAAGCAGTAAAAGGCAATTCCCCCAATCCTCCCTCAAAACCCAGACAGGGCATGACCAACAGAGTAGCATGCAGGGCTGTACATAAAATGACAATTTAGTTTTCAGAACAGGGGGAATGGGATTGTCTTGATTGCATGATGTCACAGGGTCCTTCAGATCTTGCTCAGGACGGCAACTTCTACCTACCCTATTTCATGCAATCCATAGAGAAGAATGTTGCAGGCAGTAAGGTGGAGGTCCACACTTTACCAAACCCTGTCTCACAGCATGCTGGCCTACGGGGGCTGGATTAGCTATATCTATAGCATGGAGGTGGGGAAATAAAAAAAAGTATTTCCCTATTAATGTTCATCCCGTTGCATGTCTAACAGTCTTAAACTGGACGAACAAGACAAACCTATCTGTTTCTCATTAGCCGGTCCCCCTTCATGATCCCTGTAGGCATACCAGAGTTCTTAACTTACCACACTATGTTGCTAAGAGGGTTTTCAGTCCAGATGAGCCAAGGGAGGTAAACACAACAAAGAATTTGTCACTCCTCACAGCAAACCAACCACAACTTAACTTCTAGATTCCCCCCCCCCGTCGTCTACATAATATATTCTTACAAGGGAAACAAAACCCATCGGCAAGTTTTAGAGGTGATGAAATTATTCCCATTGCTCCAGCCACTGTCACAGTAATTTTCAACAACAGGCTTCAAATGTGTTCTAGGTGGCTCTACCCTCTGTGTGCTTAAGACCCAGGCTGAGGAAGAAATATGGAAAATGTACCTGGGATTAAAAAAAAAGAATCAATCAACTGGGAGAACCACCCCAAGAAGAACAGGAGGAAAGATTCAGTGGCAACCCTTTGCCCACACACTCCTTATCATCATCCCTGGCCAGACGAGTCCAGACTCAGAACCACAACCACCTGTTTAGAAGGCACAAGAGACCAGTTACGGTACATGTTTCTTTTAAAATTAAAATGGCTTCAGTTATCACTGCTGGCTGGTTGATTTGCGCCCTAGAATATCAGCATGTCCCCTTACTGCAGTACTCTTGGGTTATACATCTCGGTACTCTTTAATAAATTTAGAATAAAGACAAGCAGGAACCTCAAAAGAAACTGCTAGCAAAACTGAAGTGTGTGCATGTATGCATGCATCTTCCTAAAGCTTCCTCTAATATTTGAAATTTCTTGCTTCACAGTGTAAAGTCAATGGCAAAACAGTTGGTTTTCACAGAGCTGAGACAGCCCCTTGTTCTTCCATACCAAAACATTTCATGAATTTCAAAGCATCACGCTGGCTTTGGCATACTGGAATGTCCAGCAATTTTATCCTAACAACTGAATATATGAAGCTGAAGGATTAGAGAAAAAAAATATGTAACAGTTACAGAAAATGTAATTCTGCAACATCTGATAGGTATAACTGAACCTCTATGCCATTTTTTGCCAATAATGGAGAAAACATTTTAAAGAAAAGACCATGACATACAATCAGACCCAGATTAATATGTAGGTGGAAAAAAAATGCAACTTTAAAAAAAAATCAAATTAGTAACAGGATCAATTTCATTAGGAAGTGATTCTAAAAGTAAGACAATTAGATTTAGAAAGATTTCTCAGTATGTGTCACAATCCTGGATTCACTCTCACTTGGAAACGATTCCCCTTTGTTCTCACAGATAATATTTTGAATAAAAATGTATGAAATCAATCACCTGAGATATTGCTGTGCTTACAGGAATCACTGCTGTAAACAGCTACTTAGAAAGGTGTATTCTTTGTTTCAGTCTGGAGTTTTGGTTTATCAAAAATTATAAAAAGCAGTTCCTGTGCATATTCAGAGTGCCCTATATTTTCAAAGTGCATTGTCAGTTGTTCAGTGATTTACAATCCTTTCCCCCACATGCTGAAACTTTGCTAGCCATCAGCTTATTATGCTTTCACAGAGGAAAAAGAGAAAGCCATGGTTTAGATTACAGTATAAAAGGTTAAAAAGAAAGAGAACCACGTGCATTTTCTTTTCTGTCCCAACACTATCAAACCTATGTGAAATTATCAGCTCCCTTCCACCCAGAAAGACAGACATACAGAACTGCCACATCTGCCACTGGGGAGATAATGTAAATTCCTTGCAGACAGATCTACAAATCCCTAATAGTAAATGTGGGTGTATGTCTGTTGTTTGATGGCCCTGATTTAATGACTGGGTTGAAAGTGGCCAAAAAAAAAAAAAAAAAAACTTACAAAAATTATTAACTGACTGGCAACAAGCATCCAGAGATTCCAGACGGGAAGACAAGGATGATTCCACCATCTGTCTAAAGTAGGTTCAAAGTAATGGAGAAACAAGGAAATAATTAATGTCACCAATAGCCATTCCTAGAAGAGGTAACTCGTAAGGGCAGAGAGTCCAAAAGATGTAATTTTTACACCTAGCTTGATCACCAAACCAAATCGTGGTGAAACGTGAATGGGACTTCACATTTCAGTCTCTCCCCTAACACTCGCTGGAAAGTGCACAAATCCGTAAAGAATACGTCCTAAAAGTTGACGAGCTGGTGCAATCCGCTCTCCACAGAAGAACAACAGAGACCCTGTCTTGTTCCTAGTCTCCTTAAGCTACTTGAACTGCAGTGTAGAGAATAGAAAACATGCATGTGCACCAACACATCACTTTAACAAACAGCAACCCCCCCGTTGCTCCAAGCCCGCCATTCCAGCTGCCTCGCCTTTGGCAGCAGGAGGCAAAGCTTGTTAGGTAAAGACTTAAACTGATAACACAAAACAAGTCAGATACATAACATTTTCATAGGCAACAAAATAGTGAACATTTTCTTACTTAGGCATCAACAAACAGTTCTATAATACCTAACAACCCTAGCACAGTCTGATCCAATCTTCATTCACCATTTCACTGAGAGATGGAAACATTCTTTTTTTTTTCTTTCCAAAAGCCGCTGTCCAGCTTTTCAGGAAAAAGAAAATAAAACCAGAAGTAATATATGGAAGGTGTTTGGGTTTTTTTAAGGTACTTAATATTGACTTGATGTGTTTGGTTTTTCTAAGCCCAACAAGACTACATTAGGCTATATTTCCTGGGAGGTCTACTATAGTATCTTAGTAGTGTTCCTGTTGTTAACATGTAGTGCAATGGTGTTTGTGAACAGTCATTTTCTGTGAACCTTGTGCAAACAAATAGAAGTTTTTATTTTTAGCTCTCCAAAGGGAATGACATCCCTCCCCAAACCCTTTCCATTCATGTTGTGGATAAAATCAACACATTCTTCCTCAAATAAAAGTCAGGTCTCTTTCCTTAAAACGTCTATGCCCCAGACCATCAAACAGAAAATATTTTTTGTGCTTGAATGAGTTAAGAACTGTTATTTCATGTCCATGCCTAAACTACAGATTGTTTATCCGATTTAGTAAAGTCCTTCCACATACAAGCTAAATAAAAAATATATACACCAGGTAAATCTCTTTAACTCTGCCACGCAAGTCAGTTGCATATTCCTGTTTTTAAAAAGGTGCAATACACCAAGTACTGCTACAGTGTATTCTCTACTCATTCCAAGAACATAAGGGTAAAGATATCCCATACAATCCTTGTTGAAATGAACAGAGAATTTGCGAAGGTAGGGCTGGTGAATGCCAACCCAAATCACTAGTGTCAACTTCTCATTTCTAAAATCCAAAGCATTTCTCAATGTCTGATATGTTAACAGAACTATGTTGAGCACTCCTTAGTAAATAAAAATAAATAGCATCTAATCTAGCATGTTAATACTGTGAAACATAAATTTTACATTAAATCAAACTTAACAGTGAAAAAGATTGTACTGTATCACCACAGACCCGTATTCTTTAGAAAAGCTTTGGGAAATTATGTGTCACGGTCCTAGAGGACAGCTCCCATGATTAGTAATCAAAATGGATTTTCATAAAGGAAAAATACATTTTTAAATGGCACACTTTGCTAATCTTCCAATGGACCTACTAAAAAGTAGGAATAGGTTCCTTCTTTTAACTGAAATAATTTCATGATTCATTCTACAAAAATTTAAACAGCACAATGAAAAGACATTCAAGAACAAGCTTCCAAAAATACTTTTTGCTCAAAGACCCACATACACTGTTCCTCTGTAAGACAGCAAAAGATAAATCAGGATTCTCTCCTTTTGCATTTCAATAATACAACAATAATGCATCCAGACCGATCAAAGATTTCAATGGCACTCAAATTCGTGTTCTATTCATATGGGGCAAATAAAAGCAAATTCATAGCTTTTCCCTAGCCCCAGTACATCAGAACGTAAGTGGGCAGTTTCAAATTAGTTTAAACAAGTATATACGGAAAAAAGGCATTTTTCAATGAAAAGTGTTGTTTTTAACCCTGAGATCACAGCTCTACATTTTGTTACAAAAGATGGATTTTGATTTCTGTTTTTCCTTTTGCCCTGACAAGCAGCTTTTAAATTTTGGCAAATCCACACTTCTAACAGCCGTGCAATTTGGTACAGGTCTGCAGTCAAGTCTAAAAAATCCTGGACGGAAGGCTTCCTTGCAAATGGGGTGGGTGGGTGGGGGGAATTAAAGAATAAAGTAACGATGCATCACTCATTGCTGGCTGTCGCTGTAGCTTGGGGAACTGTTGGTCTAAGTGCAGCTGGTCTCCTGTGAATCCAATGTGGAACTGAGCTACATGGAACACTGCAACATGTCACGCAAAGTACATGGTGCGCAATGTATCCTGATGAACCTGAACAGCTTTTGCAAGTGCTTGATGATCTCTGCCATTGCTCTGACCAGAGGTGTGACTCCCTTCAGCACTAGACGGAGAGGAAGAAAAGGAAGAAAAGACAGGCTCTTACTTTACGTTATCTATCCTGAATTCATTCCCATCCCTCCTGAAGTATCACTATAGGCTCCATTTTTACCCCACACTACATTCAAACACAGCCTTCAGGAATTTGCTGGAATCAAGGTCTCTCGCCACTGGCTATAGTTTTTAAGAGTTTGAGTCCAATAACATCTGGAGGCCCATAATTCCCAAACCATCAGGTAAAAAAAACCCGGATCGGGCACAGATTCTAACACATGGATTTTAACTGTTGGATGCCTGCCAGCCCATGGAAGACTGAAAACCAGGCCCTTTAGCTCTCAGTTGGTCTTAGGGCAGCATATATACAAAAGTGGCTTACTGAAAGTTGGGATTCAGTGCACAGCTGCTTTCTCCTGCAGCCTGCCCTGAACATAAAGGGTATCACCCAGTCCTGCACCCATGTAATCCCTTACTTTTGATTTCTCACAGTAGGCAGCAATTCCTCAGATGAACAATTTCTCTGCTAGGAGCTTTACCCAGCGGAGACCTATGTGGTATAGGCCTCTTACCTATGTTGTATAGATCAAGTGATCTATACACTGTCCCTGTATATTACCAAATATTTAATTATTCTTCTCTTAAAGTGAGCTGCAGACAGTTGTTGAACAAAAATATTACCCCGTACCACAAAGGCAGTGTCAAAATCGGCAGCCACCTCCAATTCATTATGCTGAAGAAAAAAATAGTTCTTGCTCTGCTATATACACCCTAAGAATATTGTTAAAAATAATCCTCTAAACCCGTGGTTTCTAATCTTGGTTAAGCCAGATGTTTCTGAACTGCAATTCCCAGAAGCCTTCAGCACCTGCTGTGCTAGTCAGGGTTTCTGGGAGTGGCAGTCCAAGAACAGCTGGCTTAATCAAGGTTGGGAACTACTGCTCGAAACTGTGATTTGGTCATTTCTTCAGAAGAATCCAAATTCAAGGCTACCACAACTTATTCAGACTTATCATCTCTTAAACTGCACAGTGTCTGAGTTAGAAATTATTAAAGTTTATTTGTATGTTACTTCTCAGTCCGAGGAAATGGAAAAAAGAAAAACATAAACAGAGTTTTGAAACTCGAGAGATAAATATATCAACATTATACCACAGATAACCCTCATACAAAGGAGAACCATCTGGATAAATACATTTAATGGCCTGATCAAAACAGGCAGGTGCTACTTAAAGGAATTTGCTTTAAATTCAGGGCTGGCTCCATCTCATAAAATCTTATTTGCCCAACAAGAAAAACAGCATATTTACTGGACTCAAGAAAGCATGTTTTATAGCCTGAAGGGAATCTAAACATACGAGTGAACATATACCCCATTTCCATCAGTCCCAAACATAAACTCACCTATCGTGTTCTTTATCCACCAAATGATACCTGGCTCTGAAGGCAACCAGGTGTGCATAATATGCTGGTGCAGGGATTGAAACTGAACGAGTACAACGTACATACGTATGACACAGCTGGTACGTAAGGATTTGAAGCTCATCTGAAGAGAAACGATTGTCATCCCAGAGAACATGGTAATGAGACGGCCTGCTTGTCCCCTGAAAACAGAGAAAGACAACAACTCGTGGCTTGCTAAAAGCTTCCTTGGTGAGGACCACGTTAGGTTCCATGTCTTGTGGCAGGAGAACTGGGCCGGAATTCTTTATGCCAAGGACAGATCAACCAGAAAGCCCTACTCCATCATTTGAACGACAGTCCTCTTTCTGCGGTGTTTAGCCAGGACTGGAAAACATCCAATGTTTTCTTGGAAGGAAACTCAGGCTAGGGTGAAGAGGGAAAGCAGCTGCTGGGCACGGAGGTAATGTTCTATTCTCATTCCTGCGCTCTGCCATCACCTTTCTGAAGTTCCTTCTTTCAACCCTGCCAGGCACTATCCTAGGGAGTGTGAAATTAGGAAGAACGTGGTGTTAAGTTTGTATAAAAGTCTGACCTGTGGAGGGGGGGCAGTAGGAACAAGAGGCAGTAGAACACTGCCCTTTCCCAAACAAAGACAAGGTTGTCGAGGTATGGGAAAAGAACAGTCCTTCCAGTAGCTAGTGTCTCCATGCCCCTAGCCTCGAGGAAGGAACTATTTTCTTTAACTATTTTGACTTTTTAAAAATAAGACCTTTTTTAAAATTATGTTTCTAGATGCTTTGTTTCCTGAAAGTGAGGTATACATTCTCCAGACCACTAGTTTCTCCTTTTCTCTTTCATCTACTTCACTTCCTTCAACATAAAGGACAATTCTTGGAACCACAGGAAACAAGCCTTTTCATTCATGTAGCTTTTCCTAGTACTTTCTTGTCCTCTGCCAATCTGAAGTCACATTCAGAGGAGAAATGCAGTCTGGTACTAAGATGGAGCTCTTACTAGAAATATTAAGCAGGTTTTTCAAAACCTGGAGACTGTTGCAATCAACATTCTGCTAATATTTCAGCTCTGCATAGATTATGAAATATTGCATCATATTCCCTCATGACAGATATATTTATATACATTTTGAAGTAGCAGGTGTTATAGTTCATAATGACATTTTATACAACTACAGTGGTGCCTCGCTTAACGAGTGCCTCGCTGAGCGATGAAATCGCTTAACGAGGCACTCTGGGCCATCGCTGGAGCATTCGCTCAGTGATGGCCCCTATGGGGTTTTTTCGCTTTGCGAAGATCACTAAGCGATTCGCTTAGTGATCTTCGCATAACGAAGCCGGAGAGAACAGCTGATCGGCGGTTCCAAAATGGCCGCCGGAAGGTCCGCGCTGCATTTTCGCGCCCTGCCCTCGCTTAACGAGGGCGCGAAAATGGCGGCGCTATGAAGAAACATCGCTGAACGGTGAGTTTTCAAGCCATAGGAACTTCGTTCAATGCGTTTCTATGGCTTTTTTTATTCCGTTTAGCAATGTTTCGCTATAGCGAAGGTTAATCCGGAACGGATTAACCTCACTATGCGAGGCACCACTGTATCAATATTCAGAGATGTCTTTAATAAATGTCTGCATTTTTAAGAGTTGCAATTCAGTGCAGGTAACTGAAATTCAGCACCTACATACTGAGCAACGCATGAATACTGAAAGAACAGGCTTGAGTCATCAGCCAGGTGAAACACAGTACAGTACTTGCATTTAGCCTTTCAGTCTATTTAGCTTTAAATTTGGGGGGGGGCTGGATTTGTTTGCTAATAGGTGTCCAGCTGAACTGGTAAGAAAACATATTTATGGTACCATAATAAATGCATTAAACAAACCTACTGCTACACACAGAAATCAAAACCCAGCTGATTTTTCAACTGAATATCTATTTCAAATACATGTACCGGTACTTGATCCAGGGGAGCAAACCCTATTATTCTGCATTATTTCAATTCTGCCCCAAATGCCCTGATGTTGTTTGTTACTGGTCAAAATTCACCTGATATATTTATTAACTGTACTATGCTGCATCTGGCACAAAATAAGATAATAAATAAACTATGGCAAGAACTTAATCTGGTAACTGGGTTTTTTTTTTGGGGGGGGGAGAGTTGTGCAAATATATATTTTAAGTGGGGGAGGATAAACCTTCTGAAAACCTGCTGCAAGCCTAACATCCCATGGAATCACAAACTGCTCAATGTCAAAAATGCATATCCTTATCCAGTATTGATGACAGCTTGAAAGGAAGACACTGAAAAATAATTTCTGCTGTCTTTAGAAGGTTAGAAGCTTGCATCCTATTAGAAAGGGTCTGTGACCGCCATGAAAGGGCCGTACACAGTGAAATTCTCTGTTCAAATAGTACTGCACCTCACAATCATATCAACTTTATTTACACATGACAATTTTAGCATATTCAGTTGCCAATCATATTGTGAGGCATGCACAGTGAGGCATGCTAGACTGAACAAGTACAGAAATGGGAAATCACATTCAAAACATCTGCCACATACCAGCTAAAAGAATATTAGTCATTGGAAATAATGCTGCTCTGTAGGTTCATTTGTAGTAAAGCAGTGGCCCCCAACGTTTCTGGGAACGCGGACTGGTTGGGGGCCACTGGAATTTATTTCAGTATCCTCCACGAGGATACTGAAATAAATTCCATTATGCTACACAGTACAGAGAAGAATACAAAATCGCAGTACACACAGAGCTGACATTGGGGGGGGAACCAAAACAAAAAATGATGACAACATTACAGTAGTGTTACCGAACAGGATAGTGTATTAAGCATTTACCTGAATGCCAGCATGACTACATAGATAGAAGTCAAATTCTGAAGGGTGGGTGATTTTTGTGTCCACTGTTGTACCTGCTGGAATGTTTCCACTTTTCCCAACCTGGGGAAGTAAAATAACAAAATTCAAGAGCTTATATTGTATTTCATCCTGAAAGCATGTGCCATACGGACACTGGTTAGTCAACTTCAGTCTTTAAAATAGGATAGTTACTCTTTCGTTTTTATCTGTACAGAAGAGTCTGGTGTGATGCCTTTTCTGAACAACAATGAACGTAATTCCAGGCTGATAGTCTTTTTCTAGCTTAATACATGCTTCCCTGATAGCCAGCAATTCATGATGGAGAACCTGGATAGAAAAGAGAAAGGGAATATGAAACCTCCTAAAATGTTACAAACAAACAGCAATAGGAACATACCATTTCCAAAACTGTTTATTCATTGCTTAGAACAAGTATTTCCCAGCAGCAAAACATGCAATCCGGAATATAGAATCATAGAAAAGTGAAGTTGGAAGGGGTCTACAAGGCTATCAAGACCAACCCCCTACTCAAGCTCTCCTCTGAACTTTTTCCAATTTGTCAACATCCTTCTTGAAGTGTGGTGTCCAGAACTGGACACAAGACTCAAGGTGAGGCCTAACCAGTGCTGAATGACAAGCATTCTCTGCACTCTCCCATCCAAGTCATTAATAAAGATATTGAAGAGCACCGGGCCCAGGACTGAGCCTTGAGATATGCCACTTGTGACCTCCTCCCAGTTAGAAAAGGACCCATTAATCATCACCCTCTGAGTACGATTCTGTAGCTAATTGTGTATCCACCTGACACTTGATCTATCCAGCCCACAGCTAGATAGCTTGCTGATCAGGATATCACGGGGCACTTTGTCAAAAGCTTTGTATATAAAGGAAAACAGGATCTACCTCGCATTCTTTGCTTGATGAGATTAAACAAGACTGCAGAAGATCAAATCTGCATGGACCCAGGCATATCAGTTGGACACGACCATAACTTTACATGCCCAGGGTTGTTTACTGTGGGCATTGAATTCTAAGACTTGTTTTAGTCAACAATGAAACTAAGGATTAGGCTGGACTGTGCAGTCACATTCGCCCACCATATTCCACATTCCTTGTACAAATCCAACCCTGAATTTCATCTGATCAATTTTTGCACAACACAAGCTTCAGCAGTCTGAGCTACGATGGAATTAAATATGTTCCTGCACTAATTTCTAAGAATCCATCTTTAAATCAGGTTTCATTATTAGCACATATTTTCTTTCATTATTTTTAAAATGTACGTATTTAGAACTGCAATATAATACTCTTACATACATTTGTATTTTAACTAATATAATGACATGAATGATAGTATTATATACTGATATACATTTTCAAATGATGAAAGGACTAACATCATCTGAGTATTCACGAGTATGTTTGGTGGGGAAACAGGAGAGGACCTTCTCTGTGGCTACTTCCAGACTGTGGAACTCCCTCCCACACAAGGCAAGGCTGGCCCCATCCCAGTTGCATTTCCACCAGCAGGCGAAGACTGTTCTCTTCAGGCTAGCTTTCTTTTAATGACTAGCTGCCTTAGTGTGGGGCGGGGTGTTAATGGATGGTAATACCTTTACTGTTTTAAATGGATTTTGGTGTTGCTTATACGTTTCGTATAGTATTTGTTTGATCCTCTTTCGGTTAGCTTTTAAAACTGTCTTTTAAAGATGTAAGCCACCTTGGGTCCTTTTTAAGGAGAAAGGTGGGATAAAAAATATTTTAAATAAAGATTTCATCACTGAGCATCTGAACAGGAATATGGTAAGCAAAGTGAATGAACAAATCTCTGAATCTCAGGAACCCAAAGTATGACCCTTATTTTGAGCCTCCCTCTATCAGTTTACAGTAGGACCCCTCGGAGGAGGCTTCTGCACATTGTCTTGTTGAAAGCACTTCATAACATGATACAGGTAATTTGATATATCTGTTAATACGCTGGGCTCTGATCAAAAGGTCCAGGGTCAAATCCCTACTCAGCCAACAAAAGTGCACAGCCGGTCTGTCTTGCTCAGCATAACCTCAATCAATGATTGAGAAAGGGTAAGAGAAGATTATTGGAAGAAGACAGATAGTACTGAAGTATCAAGAATAACCAAAACCCAAAAATTAAAAATAAATATATCTGTGCTTCCTTTCCCAAAATAACGCTCTGCGAAGATCCTAACACGGTGGAAAAATTCGAAAGAGAAATATGGGTTCGGACATAACCTGCTGGAATTGCCCCTCGGAGACACCATCTCTGTAGAAAATAATCCGAGTGGGTTTGAAGCGAGTGGATTTGTAGAACTGAATCAGCAGCTCCCTAACCATGGCAGCCAAGTCTTGGATGATTTCTTGCCGGTGCTGCTGAACTCTCACAGTGGCACAGTATCGATTAGGGTGGGCATCCATGCTGCCTACAACCTGTTGGAAGGGAAAACGGTCTTTAATCAGCGCCTGCACTTAAGAACCTGGAATGCCCCCATGTAAATGGATCTAGCTTCATCTTCTAATTGATTTACAAAAACGGATGACAACAGCTAAAGATTTAAAGCAGTGATGAGGAAACTCCATCCCCATGGCCTAAATACAGCCTGAATAAAGCCACCACCCCATGCCCTTCGCCTGAACTGCAATCAAACATCAGGTTTCAATTCAAACTCCAAAGATACCACAAACCTTTTTATAAAGGAGGGGATTGGCCAGGAGTCACCACTGTGGTGATCAGTTTTGCTTTGTTTTTTTATTTTTAAGGAGTTTCCACTGCTGCCACACTTTCGGACAAACGCCTTCATGCCCAAGTGAAAATACAAATTATTTTAAACCACTATACATGCAAATTAATACATGACTGGTGTGACTGATAAACCATTTACTCACAGCAGCGATGGATGGTTTTTTCCCATCTCCAGCTGGTGGGTGTGTAACATCTGCACCCAGGAAAATTACAGGCTGTTGGAATACTGGCGGCCTAATCAAGAAAAACATAGAAGAGTTAAGCATTTGCATAATAAGGTCAAGACAGCAACCCCACTGTCTCTTAATTCTACATCAGTGTCTCCGAAGACTTATTTTTCAATGCACTGAGACACAAGTGACAAATGGAGAGACATACAAATGTCATAGAGCAATTATCAGATTTCAAGTGTACTTGATTACAACTCCCAGAATCCCCAACCATTAGCCATGTTGCCTGCAACTTCTAGGATTCAAAGTCCCAGAGCACCTGGGGACCAAATGCTTTTTCTAATGACTAAAAAGCAACGTCTTAAAATCTCACATTCCAGTTTGAGCCTTAGACCACAGTTAAGATTTTCCCCCCAATTTCTATCTTTTCAAAAGACGCTAATTAAAATCAAACCTATGCAAAAAAAAAAAAAACTATTGCTTTTCTCATAAAGGAATTACTGTATGCAGGACAAAATTAACACCTATTTCTGAGAAATAAGCAATAAAGACAATGCATTGAATATGCGCATCTACTTCTGTTCACATTCATAAATCGCCCACTTAGATGCCACAGTGCCACTGAAGAGTTCAGCACTCAGACACTAAAAGACCCTACCTTCCCTGAGGCAGTAGAATGTTATTTACTCCTCCTAATTTGACATTGATTTTTAAGCACAGATTGGAAAGAGTTTGTGGTGTTGTCCTTTGCACATTTTTCATCTGCACACACTGCGTGGCCATGCCCAGCACAGTGTCGCCAACACGCTTCACCTCCGCTACGAAGTCAGAAAACAAAGAGATAGTCAGTAAAATGAATCTAACACAGGTACAATTTTACTGTCTCAGGCCAGCTGTCTCTATGTCTCCTCATACATTAAAATCGTCAACAGAGATCCATCTACAGAGGAGAGACAGGTGGCTGCCTCTCAGAGAGAAGACATTTGCAGCTATGGCTATGCTCCAGATGTATAACATTTTCCCCAGAGAGGCTTCACTAACATCGTCACTGCCGTCTCCACTACCAATTGAGGACAAGCTTTTTAGCTATAGTTTTAAAGCTGTTTCAAGATCTCTCATTTTGCTATTTGGGGGTTTCAGTTTTTCTACTGGCATGTTTGTTGGCTTTGCTTTACATCTAGATTCTACCTCCTCCATCTTATGTTGCAATAAATGTGGTATAGAAATTAATATTCTCCATATAAGATTCTCTGTAAACAAGTAAAATCTATGTATACCACACAATTTTTAAACTGCTAGACAGGTCTCTGTTGATATGTCCACAAATACATTCATGTTGTTTTCATATGCAGCCATGTGTGTTTGGGGAGCCATGATATAAATCTGCTCAGTGATATACACACAGAAACCAGATACAAAACACTTTCTTTCCATGCTGATTCCAACTGAGAAAAATACACTAGTATAAATAAAAGAATGTGTGTCCACAAACATCTAGCTATGCAGTAGAGGAAAAAAAAAGAAACAAAATTTGAGGCAGTTAGCTGCCGCTACTATGGAGAGTCAGGGGAAAGGAACTAATTTATAAAAGATTAGCTGGTAAATGGACAACAACTTGAGAAACGCAGTCCCCTTTTATACTGACCATAAACTGGAGTTTTCCCTGGTAAAATGACTACCACAAGCTGTAACCCGGCGTAGGTGTTCTTCAGATGTCGGAACATCGGCTCTACGCTGTCGGCTCCCTGGGCATATTTACAGAAACAAGGCTGTCCCTGGATAGGCATTCCTGCATCCCTTGAGATCTTCCTCAGTTGTTCCGTGAAGGACCTTGTAAATAAAAGAAACTTCAATGCAACCTCCTCCTCCCTCTCAAAGCAGCTACAGGACTGTCTGTTAGCAGTTATCCCTTCAAAGAAAGAACATGTTACCTACCTGTAATTGTAGTTCTTTGAGTGGTTGTGATTGACACTCTGGGGGATCCATGTGGATCACGCAAAGTGTGATTCACACAGGCTATGAATAACAACTCACGCAGACACACAGAGAGCCTTACACCTCAAAGCTGTTGTACAAAAGTTCATTTTTATAAAATACTACTCCTGTGTTTGCGATGCTCTAAAACAGCCATTCTCAATGGGGGACTTATTCCCCCCCCCCCAGTGGATCCTGACACATTTGAAGAGGGGTTTGCGATGCTCTAAAACAGCCATTCTCAACGGGGGACTTATGCCCCCCCCAGTGGATCCTGACACGTTTGAAGAGGGACCAAGACTGGAGAAATTTGAAGGGGAGCCCAAGGGGTCTATGAGGGGGAGGAAGGGGGCTGGAACCTAAGAAGAGCCCTTAAAAAGGTAGTGGACAAAAAAAGGTTTGGGAATAGCTGCGCTAAGGAAGGGGGCTGGAACCTAAGAAGAGCCTTTAAAAAGGTAGTGGACAAAAAAAAGGTTGGGAATAGCTGCGCTAAAATATAAATATTTATTTATTTATTTATTAAAGCACATGGGATTTTACAGTGTCAGAGAGTGAATCAGACCTGTGTTGGATGATTATAATCTAAACCTGCAATCTTATACACATATCCTTGGAAGTAATTCCAAGTGAAAGTTACTCCTATAGTCATTGAGAGTTCTGTCCAAATAAAGACTCATAGGTTAAGGGCTGTAAATAATACCAGTCTCCAGTTTACACTACAGTCAACCCTCGACTTACGAACAGCGCTATTTACGAACATTTTGACTTACGAACCGCTCTGATAGGGAAATATTCCCTCTACTTGTGAACTTGGATTCGAGTTACGACCCCCAACCCCACCCGCCGCCAGTGCTGCTTTCCTCTCAGCACTATTGGAAGAAAAAAGTCACTTAGAAGGTGCTGTGGATCAACCCTGGCCTTGGAACAGCCAGAAAAAGAGCAGAGAAGTGGCAGCCATTTTGAGAGGCGATCACATGGCTGGCTGGCTCTCAAGATGGCTGCTGTCTCTCCGGGATGGCTGCAGCCTGCCTGCTGGTTGCTGACTCAGCTCTTGGGCGCTCTTTTTTTCCGGCTGTTCTGAGGCTGCGGGGGTGCTGTGAGGAGCCAGGCTTGGTCCGCAGTACCTGGTAAGTGACTTTGTTTTAATTTTTTGTTGTTGTTGTTTATGACTTTGTTCACACAGGAATGCATTAAGTAAGTTTCAATGCATTCCTATGTGAAATTTGGATTTGACTTACGAATTTTTCCACTTACGAACATCCTTCTGGAACGGATTAAATTCGTAAGTCGAAGGTTGACTGTAATTCCCATTTTACACTAACTGATGACCAATGTCTGGATCTCTTAAAGTATACCATTTCTACTCATGTGTTTCAAAATTGTCTTCAATTCTTCCACTATACAAGAGCTGAATTTCTCTGATGTCAGGAGTACATAATTTTATAACTATCAAACTGAAATCTAATGGCACATTTTAAGGATCACATCTGCCTAATAATCTCAAAAACAATCAGAATTCAAGCTGATTCAAAATCACCGTGAAAACACGGATTAAGCAGTTAACTTACTTAAGGTGAACTTCAGTGCACTGGCGCTGTGGAGCAAAGCAAGCTATTGCCCAGACCTTTATTTCAATGCCAGTGTGAAATTGTTTGTTCCTCATATCCCAAACCCCTTGTACTGGTGTAGCAATTGCTTTGTTCTAGAAACAAGAAGGAAAAAAATAAATGAGTCATTATGGGAAAGGACCTCCCTATCAAAACAGTTTCTCAATATCCTAATAACAGAAAGAAAGAAAGAAAGAAAGAAAGAAAGAAAGAAAGAAAGAGGGAGGGAGGGAGGGAGGGAGAGAACCCATCACTGCACATAACTGGCAGTAAAACCATGCATAGGTCAAAGAGTCGCCTTAAAAATACAAGCTCAAACATGAAACTTATTGGAAAGCTACTGAAGATTTTCAGGGCAGGGAACAGTGTCTATGTAATTCTTTTTCTCTTTCTGCCCAGTTCGAAAGATCTTGTTTGCTACTAAACATTCATATACCCTGTTTCCCCGAAAATAAGACCTAACTTGAAAATAAACCCTGGTATGATTTTTGAGGATGCTCGTAATATGTGCCCAACCCCAAAAATAAGCCCTAGTTAAGTGAAACCCTGCCCTCCACCCTTGTGCAGCAACCTGAAGAAGATAACATGACTTTATTTGAATAAATGTCAATTATTGTACAATAAAGCATCCCCTAAAAATAAGCCCTAATGTGTTTTTTGGAGCAAAAATTAATATAAGATTCTGTCTTATTTTCAGGGAAACATGGTACTTTTCTAGTACCATTTGAGCATTCTTCAAGAAACCTATAAAAGCATTCCTTTTACTGAAATCTCTTGGGCTTGTAGAGCGTTTATGTTCAGTAGGGTCATATTTCATCATTAGCAACACTCCAGGACAATTATTGGGAATTCCCTGGCAGCAAACCTAATGTCCATGTATAGTTAGAGCTTTTTAAACCTTTCTCCCAAGTTCTTCAAACTATAACTTTTACAAACAATTCAGAAAAGACAGAACACACCCACTTTTGTGAGAAATTCAGGGTCACGCTGAAGAGTTAATGGATGATAATTCCTAAATTACTATCCAAGTGACTAATTTCTTCTTAGATAGGTTCAGCTACTGAATAGTACGGGATTTTCTTCCCTATTTTTCGCTGAACATGCTACATGTAAATTGCTTCATCTGAGTTCTGAACAGTCCCTACGTCCATATTATATTTTGTTTGACTGATATCTTTTTACTCTGAAGAAAGATGGTTTAAGGAGAAAGGTGAGGTAAAATATGTTAAATAAATAAATAAAACAAATAAATATGTTTGACGTGGGAGCAAAAGAACTCAAAAGAGCTACCTGCAATGCACATAACAGAACTGGATGAACAATGAACTCTAAACTTATCATAAACAGCATTGCCATTTCTAATAGTCCTGACAATTATTTTTTTAAAAACAGAAGGAAATTCGCTACCTACGAAGGCTCATTTCACCTACCCTGCCTCCATAAAGAATTGAAGGAGGCTGCAGAACCCGACCAGTCACGTCCGTCATTTCATCTTTGACCATAATTCCAAATTCACGAACAAAGGGGTCAGTATTAAAACTTGCACTTCGCATCTAGAAACAAAAGTCAAAAGTGATGAAGACACAAACCATTCACTAGGGCATGATCAAATATATTTGCAAAGGAAAAACAAACTTCTGAACCAGTAAGAATTGTTTGGATATAGCTAGAAAACAAAGTAGAGCCGAGCGAAATTTGAAAGGAGACTAAAAAACTCAATGCATAAACACCTAATGCCCCCCTCCCTTATTCCTTATGCTTTTGCTCTTTCAACCTCTAGCACCACTTTCCTACCACGTCTTTTCTCCTTTCAAATAGCTTAGGAAGAGCAAACTTTGAAATTACAACTATGTAAGACTTGGGCAACACATATTTCTATGCAGTTTTAAAACATACTTTTCATGCCAAGTACAGGGATGTACAGACAAATTATATGTTTCCCTACTTGCAATGAAAGGAAGGAAAAAGAGGACTCACCAACTTGCTAATCTCTTCTTGACGGTCTGGCGCAGATCTAGCTGTTGCCCTTATCATAGTGGAAGTTTGATTGTCTGTCAGCTTTTTTATACACCTCTGGCCTGCCACTATGTTACACACCTAAAACAACACACCACACAAGCTAGGTTTAGAAAATACTTATACTTTCACTTCACAGTAAACCAAAGCACTGTCAACAGGACTCGCAGTGGTCATCTGTCACAGCTCCGTAAGCCCCCACAAAACCTGGTTTAAAAACAATGCCAAACTAGAAAACAGAGGGCTTGATCCAGACTAATGTGGGCACAATGTCAACACACAGCACTTTATCTTTAATGCAAGGGGGGAAATGGAAGCATGCTCATAAGAAAAATATATCATCAGCTATTGAGAGTGATTTCCCAGAAATAAAACAACAACAAATCAAGAAAGGGAAAAGCAACTTATTTAGCAAAGCAACTTACCTCTAGAGGAAGATACGTGTGTTTCTGTTCCTGTCCAACTTGTAAACATGGAAGATGAGGGTAGCGTAAAACCAATTTGTGCCTATCCTTAAAATATTGAGCTACAGTGCATTCAACTGTCTGACCACTTTCCTGCTGAAGGGGGAATCTACAAAAAAACAAAATTCAAAGAGAAAATAAGCAATTTTTTAAAAATACTTCAAACGATGAAGTTCAGAACAGAACATCTGAAGTGCTCATGTATGTCTCCAGAAACAAGCCAGCCAAACACTGAGTCCCGCTGCCTGCCACATGCCAATTTAGGCAAATGCAGAAGGTCTGCACATGACCTTTCCTCATAATCACTAGGAAGGTAATTGTACTGTGGTGCGAAGAGGAAGCGAAGTTGGGAATCAACAAACACCTGTTTGTCCAAAGGATGAGCCAGCATGAATCACCAGACTGGCAGTTTGTGCCGATCTCTATTTACCAGTAAAGGGGGAGACTCATTGTCAATGTATAAGTACTAAGGTACAGCATCAAGAATGTAGAAAGAAAGCAAACTGTTTAACATTATTATTAGCAAAATCAAATTGCATATATTACGTTTGGTGACTTGCTGGCCGTCTGGTAACATTGCATACTCTGTATTTTCTCTTCATCTGTCCACAGTGAGTGATTTCCACCTTCAAACCTAATGGTTTAAAGACAAAAGCTGTCACTCATTTAACCAACATTTCAGAATTTCAGTGTAGCTGCAGCGCTCCTGAACACCATCCATACTCAGAAGTCAACACCTTTTAAAAGACCACCTGTTTAAAATACTCTCTTTCTGCAAACTGGAGAAGCGTATTGAGAAAATACTGTTTTGAGACAGATATCATTACAAGCATCTAGTGCCGAAACAAACTGTTAGAACAATGATGGCCTGCAGGTGCTCCCTAGTTCAGCAGACCTCTTTATCTACCCCCCCATCAATCAACCAACTTAAATTGCTGTTTTCATTTATGCACAAACAAATGTGTGCATCATATTTATTCCTCATCATAACAGCCAAGGGTGCTTGCTTAACTACAACTTCTTGTCCAAAACTAAGTGGATAACATGATTTTTTAAAATCCTCCCTTTTAATTGCCATACACAAGATGGCTTATACAAAATCAAAATAAGGCTAAACTTTACAAACTGCATAGAAAGTTACGAAGCAGAACTCCACTGTATGGTTTTTATCCCCTGAAATACTAGAAAGAGAGGAGGTTCATCGATACCTTACAAACCCTGATGTGCCTGAAAATCAACACTGAAGGATCAAGAATCCACTCCTCCAACACAGATTCTCTCCTGGAGTTCAATTAATCAATGGAAAAAGCCCTGTTCTGTGCACCAGATCTAGTCTAGTATTTACTGGCTAGCATTTTCGATTATGGTCTGAAAGCAACTATCAGACTGGAATGTCTGATGGAAAGAACTTACAACAATTATTCAACTCCCATGAATTTCCACGGAGTTCTAAAAATGCTATAATTTATTCTGACGTGTTTTACATTTTGTTTATAAAATAACATGGAAAACTATCAAATTGTGTTACCTTTACCAAAACCTGAATTTTAAAGTAGATTTTGAATCAATGGCTGATAACAATACAATTATCTTATTTTGCAGGTTTTAACATTGTTAAAGATCTTTCAAAACAGGCCTTTCAGAAAGATATTAGAAACAGAAAGGAAACTTAAGTCTATTTGACAACCAGCATAAAATGATATTTTTAAACTCTCAACTCTCACCTTTAATTTCTTTGGTAAACTTAACCCTTTGGGAATCTGTCAGAGGTTTCTGTTGTTCTTCAATACTTTTGAAATCCAGAACTTCGCATACAAACTCTATTACTGGCTGTGCCTTATAAAATGCTGTTGCAGATACTAAAATTTAAAAGAAAAATACAGGAAATGCATGTCATAAAAGTTGGCTTACAAATCTGGCAATATTCTTTAGAAATCCAACTGAGTAGCATCCGGTTCATCAGTTCAGCCCAGTTTGTTTACAATACAGTAAGAGTTTGGCAGTTTGGCAGCCCACCCCCTCCAGTGGGCACCCACTCAGAGGCAGCACCCAACTTCCCTGTCCCACCTCCCCCTCCAGGTGCTGCCCCTGAGTGGGCACCTGCCAGAGGGGTGGAGCACCAAACAATCAAACACCTTTTGCACTGGAAAACAAACCAGGACAACTGCCGGCTGTTTGTGCCCATCTCTAATACAAAGATAAACAGATGAAGAAGTAACACAAAACATACCATCAATGTTAAGCATCATTTTCCACAGTGAAGGCCTAACTGACTGGTGGAATCCAAACCAAACTTCTCTGCCTCCACCCAAGGGGTTGGAGCATCCTTCTGATGCGGTAAAAAATGATCGGCCCACAGGAGTATACCTATTAGAAACCAGACACATTAGTCAACAAGTTATTGAAAACCTTTTCCCTGTATTCAGAAATATCCCAATCCAAAAGTATTTTAACACAACAAAAATACATCCAGAAATGCCAGTAGATCTTAGAGTATATAGGGCAGTGGTTTTTAACGTGGGCAATAATGCCCCCCAGGGGGCGATTTCATTTTTCAGGTAGAACGAAAAGGGGCGGTGTGGGCTTTAACACAACAAAAATACATCCAGAAATGTCAGTAGATTTTAGAGTATATAGGGTATAAACCATACACCACTGGAAGCTTAGGAACCTTTTTTTCAGACACAGACTAACATTATTTGCAAGAATAAAACACAGTGGTTGCAAGAGGGCAGAATAAAAAGGAAAAAAACAGTCCATGAGGAGGGGGGGATTTACAGGCAAACAGAACAGCCATATGGAATATCCAAATGCCAGTTGCAAATACCCAGTCTCTTCCCATCACTGAAAGAACTCTACAGACCTGGCCTTTCTCCTTTAGGGGAGCACTGAGTGTGGATCGGGTGGAAGGAAAGGGTCGGGTCCTCATCCTTGCCCCGTGAAGCGCTGCCTCACACCCAGGTGGGGAGGGAGACTAGGTAGGTAGGTAGATAGGTAGGCAGGCAGGCAGGCAGGCAAAATATCATCACCTCAGGGAGGGGGCGATGATAACTTCCTCAATGGCTCAAGGGGGCGTTTCTTTCAAAAAGGTTAAGAACCACTGATATAGGGTATAAACCATATGCCACTGGAAGCTTAGGAACCTTTTTTTCAGACACAGACTAACATTATTTGCAAGAATAAAACACAGTGGTTGCAAGAGGGCAGAATAAAAAGGAAAAAAACAGTCCATGAGGAGGGGGGGATTTACAGGCAAACAGAACAGCCATATGGAATATCCAAATGCCAGTTGCAAATACCCAGTCTCTTCCCATCACTGAAAGAACTCTACAGACCTGGCCCAGACATTTTCCTTACCTCATAGAAGGTAGGTGCCTCATTACTACATCCAGTGCCTGAATTGTTTCAAAAGGAACACTTGGAAGACGACCAGAGAGAGCATCATGTAAAGCCTGCAGACTTACGCCCGACATCCACTTTATCGCCACCTTAAATATTCTGTCCTTTCCCTCTCCCGGCAATGTGACCTCCAATTCCACCTGCAACATTTGGAAACCACAAAAAGATGATTCTTTCCGTTTAGTGATTATATGTGCCAGAAGCATGGAAAAAGGGAACTGACCTCTCCTGCAATGCTACTGGATTTCCATTTTAGCAACTAGGATTGGACTTTGGTTACTGTGCTCTTTGTTGAGTTCAAACGTAAAGCAGAGTGGTCATTTAGCAAACAGGATGGCTAATGAAATAAAGTCTAAGGAAATCATTGATGGAAATATAATGCACATCAAAAATGTGACAACCCAACCATCTAGATCAGAGGTCTCCAAACTTTTCAGTATGAGGGCCACATCATATATATTACACATTTTCAAGGGCCGAAAGGGGAAAAAAGTTTTATAATGAATGAGTAAGTTTTATTTGGATCAGCAAAATTGTACTTGTACATTATCGCCACCTTAAATATTCTGTCCTTTCCCTCTCCCGGCAATGTGACCTCCAATTCCACCTGCAACATTTGGAAACCACAAAAAGATGATTCTTTCCGTTTAGTGATTATATGTGCCAGAAGCATGGAAAAAGGGAACTGACCTCTCCTGCAATGCTACCAGATTTCCATTTTAGCAACTAGGATTGGACTTTGGTTTACTGTGCTCTCTGTTGAGTTCAAATGTAAAGCAGAATGGTCATTTAGCAAACAGGATGGCTAATGAAATAAAGTCTGCTAAGGAAATCATTGATGAAAATATAGTGCACATCAAAAATGTGACAACCCAACCATCTAGATCAGAGGTCTCCAAACTTTTCAGTATGAGGGCCACATCATATATATTACACATTTTCAAGGGCCGAAAGGGGAAAAACGTTTTATAATGAATGAGTAAGTTTTATTTGGATCAGCAAAATTGTACTTGTATACTACAATATTAATGGGAATTATGGAACTGCTTGTTTAATTTCAAAATATTGGCACACTGTATATATTGATAACCTAGAGAATTACTGTGCTCATAGTTTTATATGTGTATGCTGAATTTACCGTAGAATTATCTTGCCACTATTTTATAAACTCTGCACAAATAAAATTACTCTTGTTGGGCAATAAATACATTTATTTGATTTACTGAATTAACTTCAAGGCATGTCATTGTCCAGTGTAAATAAAATATATCAGGGAAAATGTCATTTGGAAAGTGGAATTGTCATTTGGTGAATGAAATCAAAAAGCCTGCTGTCACCGCATCACTTTCTTTGTACGGGTACTCTGTCTTCCAAGGAATCCCAACAACCACTTCAGTCACTTTTCCAGATCTAACTACAGTTATAACATTCATTTAGTTTTAAGTCACGTGGGTCATTCAAGACAGATACTCAACCCAAAAACAGAGTATGTTTCTGTGCTAGGATTTTTGTGTGTGTGTGTTTTGGTGTATTTGTTTTTTAAGCCCCAGCACCTTCTGATGGTGCTTTCTCTGGGTCATTCAAGACAGATACTCAACCCAAAAACAGGGTATGTTTCTGTGCTAGGATTTTTTTGTGTGTGTTTTGGTGTTTGTTCTTTAAGCCCCAGCACCTTCTGATGGTGCTTTCTCTGTTGTTTATTTTTGTTTTGTTTTTTAAGCCCCAGCGCCTTCCGAAGGGGCTTGCTCTATTGTTTATTTTTGGCTTTTTTTAAAGCCCCAGTGCCTTCCGATGGGGTTTGCTCTGTTGTTCATTTTTGTTTTGTTTTTTGGCTGGAACGGATTAATCACGTTCCAATGCATTCCTATAGGAAATGGTTCTTCGACTTATGACCATTTCAAGTTGCGTCCATCTTCTAGAATGGATTATGGTCGTAAATCGAGGCACCACTGTAGTTGTAAAATACTCAACTACCTCCAGTTTTTCTCAATGTCATAAGCAGGCTTTGGTTATTGCAGATGTTGACCAAAATCCTGTTCGGAGATAGAAGTTATTTCTGCCTTTATAACAAGAATTACATGACCATGAGCTACAGCTTGCCAATAATTAAATACTTCCTTCTTCAATTTTGGTATGCTCTTAACCTTCTTGCATGCAAGCTATGTGCACACCAAAACAGAAAAAAGATGTTTTTGATCAGCAGCTATCTTCCACCCACAACGTAATTCTTAACAATTTTAACCACTCCTTTATAAAACATGAAACTTGTACATTTCACAGGTGATCGCTGCAGTATAAGACATCTATTTCAACATCAACACTAAAACATAGCAAAATTGAGAGGTACAGTTGATCTAACCCTAACCCTTCCAACCTGTTTCTCTTTATACAAAATGCTCAACATTGAACCAAGATAGCAAGCCTTGGACTCACAGTTTCCACATGTGCACTGGGAGGGCGTGTGTGTTATGCACCATTGAGTTGACCTTCATAGTGGCTTTTAAAATAAGTGAGATACGTAACAAGTAGTTTTACCAGTGAATTTCCATGGCCACAGGGAAATTCAGACCCAGGTCTCCTGACTCTGTCATTCTATTCACTACATCATGCTGGGTATCACAGGTGATAGGAATTCTACTTCAAATAAACATTTCTGAGATGTAATCGAACTGTTATTCCCAAATAGATTAGATCCATTGGCCAAACTCTTGTTGTTTAGTGCAGAAAGTCACACTTCAGTAGGTCCACAAAATCAACGTGGAGTCACAGTTACAGCTGGCCCATTTGCATCAAAGGACCTTATACAGCAGCTGACTCACCAAATCCCCATTGATTCAGTGGGCCTCCTCTAATGCTATTGACTATGCTAAGTAACAGAATTTTTTACTACTAAATGATTAGTCCTTGTTAAATCAAGACTTTTGTAGGTCTCAATTTAAAACAAAAAAATGGGATTTATTCTATAGCAGTTAATGTTCCCAGTTTGACCGGTAAGTCCTGTTAACTAAAAGCAGAAGCTAAAGTATCGGAACTCTATCTCTTGAAGAGCGGGGGGACAGACAAACAGAAGAGCCATATGGAATATCCAACCTCCAGTTCCAAATACCCAGTCTCTTCCCATCACTTCAGATTCTGCTGATAGACTTCAAAGCCATTAGTTTCAACACTGAAAGATCTCTACCGACCTGGCCCGGACATTTTCCTTACTTCATGGAAGGTAGGTGCCTCATGTGAAAATAAAGCATGACAAAAATACAGAGCCACTGCTTCTACTATGTCAGTTACAATCCCAACAAAGTGTTTCTCATTACTTCAGTCATGTTATATCGTAAGAGGAATTATCATCGCACTAAGAACAATGAGTTTTGCCTTACACATTTTATAACTTTTATCTTGTTTTAGGAACTGCAGGACTAGTAGAGGTGGTTTTATTGTCAGATTAAGACTGGGGAGAGCTAGGTTAAACTTCCCACTCAAGCATATAGTTAGTAGATGAAACTGGGCCAATCCAGGTACACCATACTCAGAGGAACATAAATGCAGTAAGAAATGGGAAGCACGCCACTCTGTCCAAGTAATAAAATTCATTAAACAATAGGATGACAGTTAAAACTGGCATTATATACTTACTTTATCTCTCCCTATTGGAAGTGGCATAGCTGTATAGAGGTTTTTTCTCCCATCAAATACTGGCTTACGATCCCCAAATATCTGAGCTTTAAAGTGCTGGACCATATGTTCAACTATTTCTCTGGAAACAAAGAATTATGTTAACAGGTATCTCTCAGTGTTCAGACAACGCATTTAAAATGTCAAAACAAACAAACAAACATACACCAAGTTCTATGAATTGTATGAACAAAAGCTAACAAGTCATTCCATAGTCTGCTGAAATCTACTCAACCCCCTAAGCCATGTGAACACAAGCAATGTTTCTCTGGAGTGTTTTTACGACAGCTTTGTTTTACATTCGCATACTGAAAATTGGGAAAGGGAACAGCTTCATGACAAAAGCTTGCTCAGAACTGGGTGGCATAACTGAAAACAAACCGGAAACAAACCAGAAGCTTTCCTGGTTCACATCTCATCCAAGCTAACATACCCAACATTCCATGTCAGTGTCTCTACTTTAAACTATAACTATGGTCAATGCAGATACAACATAATAGCAGAAGATCTACTTCCCAGACCATGATTCCATTAAAATTTTTGACAAATAATAATTATAAAAATAGTGCAACTGACAGCTCAGAATTTTAAAGTAGGCCTCAGGAGCACAGAATGCTGTACACATGCATTTATATTGTATGTTGAACGTCAGAATTAAACTCAATTGCATTGATTTGTCACTATGAAGGAAGCAAGGATTTCTTAGCAAGTTACAGTCTCCAAAATACTCGTCTTGCATAATCATATATGTTAATGCCATTTCCTAGCATTACTGTCCTTTCCAGTGAGTCATGTTTTCTCGTGATATGTTCAGTGTTCAGCATTCATATCTGTAGACAGTACATGAAAATACAGTGGAGACTTGACTTACGAACTTAATTGGTTACAGAACTCTGGTCGTAACTTGAAATGGTCATAAATCGAAGCACCATTTCCCATAGGAATGCATTGAAATCCAATTAATCCATTCCGGCCAAAGGGGGAAAAAATCACACACACCCCCCAAAAAAACCCACTGAAAGACCCATCGGAAATGCGATTAATCAGTTCCGGCCAAACGGGGGGAAAAGAAAAGCAAAAAAAAAAACATACAAGACCTTTTCGAAATGCAAAAAAAGTAAAGCAAAAAACAAACAAACCGTGCAAGACCCATTGGAAATGCGATTAATCCGTTCCGGACGAGGGGGGGTAGAAAAGCAAACAAACTGTGCAAGACCCTTCAGAAATGCAAAAAAAAGCAAACCCAAAAGCAAACACACCCTGCAAGACCCATCGGAAATGGGGGGAAAACCCAAAAAACAAACAAACCCTGCAAGACCCATCACAGCATAGAAACATAATCCCACCACCTAGCCCAAAATCACGCTGCAAAACCCACCCAGAACAGTTTTTTTAAAAGTAGAGAGCAGCACCTTCCCAGACAGTCCAAAGCCCCCTCCGATCGTACCCTCTCTAACTGCTGGGACGAAAGAGCTACAAGAAGCAGCCTCTTCGCCACCAACAGTTAGCAATTTGAATTCCTCGCTTTTTTCCCCTGCCTTTTTCTGGCTGTAACTTGTAGCTCCAGTCGCAAGTAGAAGAAAAATTTTGCGCCTGGAGCTGTTCGTAACTCAAAATGGTCGTATATCCAGACATTCGTAAGGCGAGGCATCACTGTGCCATTTACAATGGTATTTGAAGAATATTTCCACCTTTGTTTGGCTCCAACATCCTTAAATGTAAGGTTCTTTTATTTCCTTCATAGCACCCCTTTCAACTCTCAGTCTTCTCCTGATTATTTGGCTATTGTTTCCATTTTGGTTCCTCACTGAACCAAGGTACAGATAATCTTTAACATTTTTTTTTAATTTCTTTACCACTAGCGTTAAAGATATACCATTCTTTGGTGGACAATTTTGTTTTCTAAAAATTCAACTGCAATTCCACACTTCACTTGCTTCTTTCACCTTCATTCAAAGTCATTTCAAGTCACTGCCTCTTTCTCCCAGTTATAATGTGTCATGTTCATCTTAAATTATTTATATTTCTTCCACCAATATTCACACTTCATTCTTCTGATTCTAACCCAGCCTTTTGTGCAATATGTTATGCATACAGATTGAGCAGACAGGGAGATAAAACCACCCTTTGTCTGACACTTTATTTCTGTCTATTTCTCCATAAACCAACGACTGAAATGGCTTTAAAAAGAGGTTATGGAGGATGATGTTTTTAATGGCTACTGTCATGATGGCTACATAGTATCTTCCGTACTAAAGGCAGCATGCTGCTCTGTATTAGTTGCAGGGAAACAAATAAGTGTCCTCCTGCACTCCTGCCCGGTTATATGTTCCTTAAAGGCTTCTGGCAATGAAATGCCAGACTAGATCAATGGTCTGATCCAGCCGAGCACTGGAAACACTGGCCCACAAAAACAATGTGACTTAAGAAGTATTTCCTAGGACCAATACAATTTCTCTGTTATGACGAACATGCTGCCAGAATTCCGTTATTCTCTGCGAATGGACAATGTTTAACTTATATACTCAAATAATTTATACCTCCCCTTTTTGCTTATCAAGGCACATAATTAGTCATCATTTCTCAAGGCACCAGTAAAAGACTGGAAGACAACAGAACATTCTCACTTCTCTCCAGTTTTTAGCTTATGAGGAACCAATTCATTCCATCCTGGATCAAACAGACCACACAAATCTGCATTACCCTTGGAGCAATTCAGGTTCCAGAACACAAGAGCATCACATGCTAGACTACCCATAATATCAGTCACTTTACCCTTTAAAAACAACCTTCTCAAAAACCTTGAGGAGAGGGGCAAATATCAGCTGCTAATTTTCTCTTCACAGAAAATGTGATGAAGACACTCTTACCTCTTGTTTCATGGTTTCTCCAAACTCTTCAATACTACCAGAACAATGAGTTTATTGTCATTACTAGTATGTGGAGACACGAAAGCAAGCAAGTGGTAATGTTACCTCTCCTTTTGAGAGGCTAGTACTAATCCTGAATTACCACGAAATCTGTGAGATATGAGCTACCACAGATACCAGCTGAATTCTGATAATACAGAAAGAGAGAGGGCATGATCCAATAACAAAAAATACAAGAAGGCAAGGAGATATTTAAAACAGCATTAAACGTTCTGGGAGAACTAATTTTTAAAAAAAGAGGAATTAATCTTAAGCGCAAACAGAACAGTGGCATTACTGTATGTGGTTTACTATATGATTGCTAAAACTACTGTTCAAGTGAAAAAATTCACCAACAAAGTTTACCAGAACTTTTATTTTAAATGATTTAAAATAAAATTCATTGAAGCTAAGGAGAAAACAAGATATGCCGTACCTGTTAACTCTTCTAGGGCACTTCTCCGGCTTTATATCCAATTCATAATGGTAGATGTCAATTTTAGGAATGTCCATTTCAAAAAAGTTGGCTTGTAGTTTGATTGTTCTCCCTGATGTACCAAAATCAGGTCGAGGAGGAGGTTTGAATGCATATGCCTGTATTGGAGGTGGCAGAGGTGGAGGTGTTGCAAGTACTAGGAAGAAAGGATATAAATAATGAACAATACAGGTTCTGTAACTGTAATTTTCTGGAATCATGTTCCATTTAAAGAGAACGAAGAGTACACACAACTTGAAAGTATTTCACACCTATTTTGACACTAATAGCAAGGTTAAAACATCAGTTTGACAAAAAAGGAAATGTTTAATCAAAATTATATACTGAGCTTCCCTGCAACCAGCTTATAAACAGAGAATTTGGTCGTACTACCCAAAGAATATGCACTCCGGTAGAAATCTGTACAGGACAGAGAGGACATGACCTATAATCTATCAATGCTATTATGAGTACACTAATAATTGACTATGTGACCTGATGCTCAATTAACAAAGAAAGTATGTGACTTTGTAACAACCAGCATTTGAGGAATTAATGGGAAAGTTATTTAAATTAGAAAGCTAACAGTTACTTTTGATGGATCTAATACGCCACTAGCCAACACAGAGAAAAATCAGAACACGCTATCAAGTAATTACTTCTAGCCATATACCATAATACTTCCTCTACAGGTTCCGTTTTATCCATAGCACCAAATCCCGCATCTTTTGTCATCATGAACAGCACAATAAAATGAGCTAAGCCTTGTGTCTCTATTTTGTACCATCTAAAACAGCTATTGGGAAAGTGCATCAAACAGCATAGAAGATTCTAATGGCTGACAGTTTAACATCAAGAATCAAAAGTCAACAACCTGTTCTGAAAGAAAACTGAGCATAACACCTAACAATCATATATACTGTATTTACATAGACAAATTCTCTTTTAAGTACAGTATATGAAATAAAGTCATTAATTAAGTAATATAAATGTTAAAAAGTGAAGGTTTAAACATAATTATATTGGATTCAATTTTAGGCAGGCTAATTTAAAGGAACAATGGATTTAAAATTCCTCTTGAAAACTTGCTTTTAAGTTCTTAACTATTATCCTTGAAATGGATTCAATGACTCTACAAACAGTTCCGAAAAAGTTGCAATTGTTATGAAATTAATCCATGTCACGTTCTACATTTTAATTCTGTATTTTTGACATGGATGGAGAAGGAATCATTTCTAAATAGATAGCATTTAATAAAACAAAACAAAAACACAATTAATCAACACCAACAATGCTGTGGAGATAAAAGATAACTATTTCTGACAAGCTGTTCTTTAATTTTATTATTAACCATTATGTCCAGTAGGCACTAATAGTCTTATTACACCACTAAACATGTCTAAACCCTTTCTAAAAGTGACCATTTAGAACACATGTGTCACACTCAAGGCCCGTGGGCCATTTCATGTGGCCCTCGCAATGTTGCCTGCTATGGTGCAGTATACAATACGCAGGCACTTACTCGGTCACCAATAATGCTCCACAAGAATGCTGGGAATCCGCCCAGTGAGACTTCTAATGTTACACCACTAAACATGTCTAAACCCTTTCTAAAAGTGACCATTTAGAACACATGTGTCACACTCAAGGCCCGTGGGCCATTTCATGTGGCCCTCGCAATGTTGCCTGCTATGGTGCAGTATACAATACGCAGGCACTTACTCGGTCACCAATAATGCTCCACAAGAATGCTGGGAATCCGCCCAGTGAGACTTCTAATGTCAGCATTCATAATGCTCCACAAGAATGCTGGGAATCCGGCCAGCGGGACTTCTAATGTCAGCATTCCAAGCAGCAAAAAGTCAGAAAGTGCAGTAATAATTGAATGAGGAGGATTATATTTAATACGATAAAGAGTAGATACATTTATATAGTCTTACAGATACAACTGGCCCTTTGAGGGCAACCATAATGCCGATGCAACCCAAGATGAAACTGAATTGTACACCTCTGAATTAGATAATTATGACAACTTTTTATGGCAGCCAAGTGACCCTAATATGGTAAATAGGAAAGCCAATTAGCATTGCGTACCCCTGGGAGGCAGAAAGGTTTTAAGGGTCGGATCATACTTCTGCACTATTAGAGAGCAGGCTGGGTAGGTGGAGCTTGTCAGCCTTGGAAGGCAGCCCATCTAGGAGAAGGAAAACTCAGATTTCAAACCTCCACTGCCTTGTGGCTATATCCACTCATGGAAAAGGCTTCAGGAGTTAACCTCGAGGCAAAATCCAGAGCTGGAGTCCCGAAGGCAGTTCGTGTCGTTCTGTCAACTCCTGCGACGTTGCTGGAACCAGTTGTATCGGCTCTTGCCTTTCCATTGGACCATTTCAGCAATGTGGAGAGGGGGGATTTTCTGCTTGGGTAACAGCCTATCCTCCATACTACTTTACCCAGGCTTCATGCTCTGGAGAGGACACTTCTCGATACAGAGCATGTTACCATAGTCTCTCGAGACTGAAGGATGCCTATGCTTAAGCATAGTTTGAGCTGCTTTGGGTCCCTTGTTGGGAGAAATGTGGCATATAAATAAAACTAATAAATAAATAAAAATCATTTCATGTCCTGTCTTAAGAAGCCCTTTCTTTCATCTTTGCTGAACCTAGCTTCCCTGGACTTCTCAGGGTAAAATCCTTTCCATTCCTTCTCCTTGTGTAATGCTCCCTCACCCTCTTAAGCTAGCTCAAGGAGGTATTCAGATTGCACCGAGCTCTTGTGAGTGGGCACATAATGTTTCATGGCTGCTGAACATGATTCTGCCACAACATTAACCATTCTTTCAGTATAATCTGCATAACATGGCTGCCCTTCTTAATGATTTTCTAGCTCAATTCGGGGCAACAGAGAAGTCTTGTATGATACGTATCGGCTCATTCCAACTTGCATTTTTCTGACAGTTGGCAATGCACTTCAAGTTCCATGGAAATACTGAACTAAGACGTGGAGCACAAGATACTACCAGGACTTTAGGGACCATCCAAGTTTCCCTGTGTTTGCCCTGACTTTCTTTTCTAAAGAGAATAGGAAAAAGTACCCAATCTGCTGTAGTTCCTGATCTGCCAGGGACCTGGAAATACAGTATTCAAGATTTCCACTACGGCTACTCCTCTGTTATTATGTATGCAGGGGAGGTGGTAACTGTAGAAAGTAATTTTGTCTTATTTATACGCTGTCTTTCTCCCTACAAGGGGACTCAGTTCAAATTATGCTAGGACCCTGGCAGAAATAAGCTGTAATGCCTTCCCCTCTGAATCATCTGTTCTCTCCTGCAGGGAGAGAGAAGAGATGGGACGCAAACTGAGATAATGATACTTAAGTCCATTTCAGAACTTCCTGTATGATCACTGAAAGATCACCCATATTGCTGAACAGTCCTACATTTTTTTAAGATATCAAAATTAGCAAATGCTACTCTCTATAACATTAAAGCAGCCACAGTAGTTGGGAAGACTTATCTTGAAATAAACATTCAATGTTTCTTCCCCCATTTTTGTCTATCAGCTCCAACCATAAGAGCCCCAAAGTGACTTATGCCATATGATAATTCTGAAGCTCAAACCTTTGAAATGTATTTTCAGACAAAATATCCCTAATTTGTTTCAGTCTAAGCTTTTCAAAAAGGTAATTATATCCTTATTGTCAGTAGTATATTTTCATAAATGCTTCAGCTGTCAATATGTGCAACAATTAAGGTTTTCGTGGAGGTGCATTTAATGTTTTATTTTGTCAACAGTATAGTAACTATTTTCTATAAGCTACAATAACTGCCCTATATCTACAGAAAGGTTGCATTCAGAGTGCTTTACTACAACTAAATTGTCTGAAATAACAACAAATTGGGCAAAACTAAAAAGTCAATGACAACTGTATTACCAGACTGAACAGAAATACAGTAATATTACAATAACACTGAAATAATATTGTTAGTCTTAAAGGAGACATACTTTTTTACTGATGATTTAAGATTACACATTTCCTAAAAAATACTATGTTAAAGAATACAAAACAAAAAACCACACAACCTATAATCCTAACATTTTTAAAAGACTACCAAAATACAGTGGTGCCTCGCGATGTCAATCGGTGCAGCAAAAATCACCGCCAATCGAAAACATCGCTAAGCGATTTTTAAAAGCCCACAAGAATGCACTGAAGCCCCTTCAATGCATTCCTATGAGCAAAAAACTTACCTTTAAGCGAAAATCCTCCATACGGCGGCCATTTTCGCTGCCCGGTATGCGAGAAATCCGTCCCAAAACACAGGGGGCGGCCATGTTTTTTACCCGGCAGCTATTTTGGAACCGCCGATCAGCTGTTGGGAAAACATCGCTATGCGAAAATCGGTAAGCGAAACAGCTTACCGATCATCACAAAGCAATTTTTTCCCATTTAAAACACTGAAATGCGATCGCTTTTGCGATCGCAAAAACCAAATCGCTATGCAATTTCATCGTTAACCAGGGCACTTGTTAAGCGAGGCACCACTGTATTATGGTCGCTTCAAGAACTAACTTTAGGGAATAATTTTCCCAAGAACTAAGCCTGGGGAATATTTTCCCACTGTACAGAAGGCACTGAAATGTTACGAGATATTACACTGGAAAATCATACTACATCAGTGACACAGAATCCACCTTGCACTTGGCTTTTCCAATCCTGTTTCCCTCCTATCATCCTTCATGCAACTAGAAAAGCCACTTAAAGTTGGGGAAATAAAGTCTAAATAAATAAGAGGATCAGCAAACAGGAAAAAAGTGGGCTACATACAGTCAGTCATTTGTGTACTGTAAATCTTTCTATGTATAACTAAATAACAATAACAATAACAATAACAATAACAATAACAATAACAACAACAACAACAACAACAACAACAACAA